TGTTTCCTGAAGTTCATTTTGATAAATAGTGTTTTAAATGTGCAGAAAAGTTACACTTTTGGGCTCTTCCCCTCAGACTATCATCCTTTAGTTTGTTTGTGTGTTAATACCTAGAGTCCTGTATAGGTTATCATATCCAGTTAAGATCTAGTTTCCCACATGGATATGTGAGTATCTTAACCCTGAATTGTAATGATCTGGGTAGAAGCCCAAGAGTGGTATGGTATGGTTGCATCATAGGGAAGTTTTATGTTTAGTTTTTTGAGGAATCTCCAAACCACCTTCCAGAGTGGTTTACATTAATTCTTTATGTACATTTGTAGCTTTACCCACTGTCTCCTCCATATTTACTGTCCTATTCACAGTGTTTTTCAAGTCTCCATCTCAGATGCCACTTCCTTGGTAAAGATTTCCCTGAGTTTATTATAATTGATTTTTGCCTCTTGGTGTTCCAGAAGGCTCATTCCATTTATCCTAAGCTTTTGTCACACACTGCCTTATGCTAAATGTGTTATTTCACACTGACTACAAAGAGGAAAAGTCCTCTCTTGTTTTGGTCAATCATGGAGCTTGAACTCAGGGCCTGGGAGCTGTCCCTGAGCTCTTTTTCTCAAGGCTAGTGCTCTATTGCTTTGAGCCACAGTGCCACTTCTGTGGTTAACTGGAGATAAGAGTCTCATGGGTGGAGGGGGAGGAGGGGAGGCTGGGAAGGGATGTGAAGGATAAACAAAGGAGGAGGCTGCAATGCTTGGTAAGAATTGTACCCATTATCCTGCCCATGTAATTGTAACCCCTCTGTACAGTATGTTCACAAATAAAATAAAATAAATTAAAAAAAAAAGAGTCTCATGGGGACTATTTCTGCCCCAGTTGGCTTTGAACCATGATCCAGAGGTCACAGCCTCCAGAGTAGCTAGAATTACAGGCATGAGCCATAGGCACCCAATGAAAATCATCTTTTATAATGGAGCATAGACTAACATAACCTCAACCATCAGAGAAAAATGATCAAATATAACTCATGTATTGAGGGTTAGTTCATGGAATAATCATATCACATGCTATGCACAAAAACATTAGAGCCTGGCCCACATTGGCCAATGAGTAACAATTACGATGTTCTGAGCATCTGCTGTCTTGCTTACCAATAATTACAAGGCTTCTACAGATTCTTTAATTAAAACAATACTTTTTGGTGCAGAATCTCACTGCAGAGCTCAGGCATGTCCAGAACTCTGGATCCAAGTGCCACAATCTCCCAGGGGCTACCAAAGCAGACTGATCCAAATAATCTGAACATGTTCAAATTGTGTGTCCTGGATAAAAATCCCTTCCTTATATGCCCGGGATAAAGATCTTTTCCTTGTGAGAGTCTGAAGGAAGGTGGTCTGTGGTCCAGGGAGGATGGCCTTTTTCAGGACCAGAGTCCCTTTATGTAGTTTCCTCTGCTGTGAATTCACTTGACATCTGCTGCCAGCTGCGTCCTCCTTCTGAAACACTCATCTTAGTATCTGCTTTTCAGGCCAGCAGGGAAATGCATCCACTGATCTCAAAAAAATCATTTTAAAGGCAATTCCAATATGGATCTGTACCTCTGAGGTACCAGCTGTACCTCTGAGAAGGGGCAGGGAAGGATGGGAATGTGCAGCATTGTAGTAGAATCCCAGATCCTGGCTTGTTCATGTCTCTGGGCACTGCTGTTTTATCAAGCCGACTCTACAGCGCTTCTCTTTAATTTGCAATATTTTCCATATACTTTTTCTTATAGGCAAATCATCACAGAGGTCCATGTTTATGTGAACTACAACTCTGGAGATAAAGCAAGTTATTTCCCATGATATTACTGGCATTGTGCAATGGTAGCATCAAAGTTGTCCTTGTGGGGAGATTTCTCCTCAATCTTTTATCAGCTTGTCTCTCCATGCAGATAAATGTATCATCTGAATAAAAGCAAGGTAACTGCAGAAGCAGTGTCATATAATCTCCTTTTTTTCAATACCCCTAAATCTCTCATGTGGAAATTCTGGAGTCATCATTGAAATCAAAGGAAGTAGGAAGACCACTTAAATGAAAAAAGTCATACACAAAAAAACAAAAATTACATGGTTTTCTTCATTTGTGGTAGCTAGAATGTGCCTATTACTTACAGAAGTAAACACTGGATGGTATGCAATTGGTTATAAATGAATTAACTGAATAGACTCTATGGAGAGCTGAAAGAGTATAATTCTCTAGAAAGACAAAGTCAAAGCCCAACAAATAAGCACCAAGAAATGGGTACTTGCAAGCAGGGAGGCGGAGCCAAGGGGAGAAAGGCAGACAAATGGAGGAGGGGGGAGAGGGTAGAATGCAGCCAAGAATTCATCGTATATACCACGAAATTAAGAAAAGGCAAAAGGGGAGTCAAGGAGGATGAAAATGTTGAAGAGGGCGACAGATCAAGATGCACTGTATTCACAAACTGCTTGGTTGAATGGCATTCCTTAGTACAACTACTAACAATAGCCTCTTGGGGGCGATGTCGCCTAACAAAATTCTAACGGCCTTCTCCAGTCTCCCTTCTAACTGCCCCAACTCTTCAGAGTTGTTTCTTGGCCTTCTCTTTCTAACTGTATCAGGAGGATATCAGCCCTACCTGCCATTGTACTAAATGCTGAGCTGCTGCTTGCCTTTTGAAATAGTTCATCTGACTAAGGTCTAGCAATCTCCAGCTGAGCTAGTCCTACCTTTACACATGACACATAGAAGCCAATTACTATTAAGTCAGTCCTGGTCGCATTGATGCTTGCATTGATGTTAGCGTTTGGTAACTCATATTGTTTAATACTGAGATTTTATTTATGACTCTTCATTCCAACTATCATTCTGAAATCTACATTTCATATTTTAAAGTTCCTTGGATCACAACTAATAGCAGTGACCTCTAGCACAGCAACTCACATATAGTGAGATATATGGATGAATGGATATATAGGTATGTGGAGAAACTCAATCCCTGGGTGAGATATTAAAAGAATGACTTGGAAGTAACAGCATAGTACATCTAGAAAAAGAAGCCACATAGGATATCAATATATTACTAAATATAAGGACAACCAGTGTTCACATGTCATTAAGTTAATCATTTCAAAGAGTAAAATTCCATAATTTTCAATGTAGTCACAGAACTGGACAACCAACACTACCACGAACTCCAGCACATGCTCATCACACCCACAGGAAATCCTCTGTTAGCACTCATTCCAGTCTCCTCCTCCCAGCTTCCGGTCACCATGAATCTACTTTCTGTTTCTCTACATTTGCTTATCTATATAAATAACATCATATGGTTTGTGACCTTTTTATGTGGCTTCTTTCTCTTATAAGTTCATGGACTTTGGCCTGGGCGCTGTCCCTGAGCTCTTCTGCTCAAGGCTAGCACTCTACCACTTTGAGTCACTTTGCTACTTGCAGTTTTTGAGTGGTTAATTGGACATAAAAGTCTTTCTGGGACTTTTCTGCCTGGGCTGGCTTTGAACAGCGATCCTCAGATCTCAGACTCTTGAGTAGCTAGGATTACAGGTGTGAGCCAGCAGTGCCCAGAAAGTTTTAGAACTTTTAACAGATTGCCAATATGTGTGTGTGTGTGTGTGTGTGTGTGTGTGTGTGTGTGTGTTTGATTCTGAGGATTAAACTCAGGGCCATACATTTGCTAGTCAACTTCTCTCTTACTAAGCTATACTCTGAAGCTGGCTCAATACTTTGCTGTGTTGACTATTTGTTTACTTGCCTGTATCCCATTCAACAACTAGCCTCACAAAGATAGAGATGTAACTTGTTTATTTCAACATTTCAAGTGTAGAGTTCAAGGTTAATCACAGAGTGCCCATTCAACTAATGTCTTCTGAACAAATAAATGATGCCCTTTCACTTCCAGGCAATCTAGTTGATAGGTGCTTAATATGACTTCAATATACAGTCATATGAATGGCAAAATAAAGAGGCCCTTTGGATCTAGATTAAAGGGAAGAAGATCTTTGTAGCATGGGAGAGTCTGTCTGCCCTGGAAAGGTAAACATTTTCCTCATTGTGCTGCTTCAGACTTGAATGACAATTAAATGAGAACTGAGACTAAACAAAGCTACAAGTACTTGTATTTCAGCCACGCCTGTTACTTAAAATGCATGCTTTAGAAGTTATGAAGGACTTCTGTATATATAGATATAATTAACATATATGTATTTCATTCTCCTGAGAGAGAAAAATCATACTTGGCTGAAGCTAGGTTATTTGTTGTTGATCTGTATCTCAAACTGAGATACAATTCCAAATGGAGTATCATGGTGTTTACTCAGGGTAAAAGGGAAAGGAGGAATAGGTGACAAGCTTTCTTTCTACAGAGAAAGAGCTATGAGTTTTCTGGTAAAGATCCTCTGTAAAGTTGAGACACAAGAATCAATAAGTTTTCTTAGGCCCAGGGTAAGGTGAACCTAGAGCTTCCTGTATCAGCACTGACAAATCTTGCCACATTACACTTGACCTAGTCTAAGGCAACAATTTCCTTGGTTTAGACCTCCTCTGTGACATGCACACCTAGATAAATATTCGGTTATCTTCTTCCCCCAATGTAGATAGTTCCTTTGGCCTGTATTCTGTTGATTCACGTGAATTCTGACACCTTTAAATTGCGTGTAATGTCTACTCTGTCTTCCCTAAATGGAATTAAGCCTGGGGCTGGGTTTGAACCGAGAGCCTCAGATCTCAGCCTCCTGAGTAGTTAAGATTACAGGCATGAGCCACTAGTGCCCAGCCCTAAATGGATTTAATTTTTAAAAAAAATCTTTTGTGTTTCTGTTAGGACTTGCAGTTCCATGTACTTGAATCTTTCCAGGAAATTTTGGAAGTTTAAAAAGTGATGAGTATAACCTGACTTCTGGAATTGAAACCCCTCTGTAGAACTACTTAATAAAAATGAATATCTATTGATCATTTTTGTATGGCTCTTGAAGGATGCTGTAAATATGCTGATGGACCTTGTCAGTACACAGTTTCCTGCCTCTGCTGGAGCCCTCATGATCTCTGTCTTCTTCAGTGGACTGTGTGAGGCATGCCCACCATACTTTTCATCTTATGCCACGTCTGTCACCGCCCATCTCCCTAGCATATCACTAGCTACACTTCTTCAAAACAAATGCTGTCACTTGTGTTATTCCTTTTGTCCAAAGTTACATTTTATCCCTCACAGGTATAGCCCAAGTTCCAGAAGGTCTCTAGAGGCATGGTCCTACCTTATGTTCGCACTAACAGAGTCCTCAGTGAATTTCTGGGCCTTGCTTGGATGGATTAACAATCTGTTTCTCTGGAATCTTTGAGATCAGAACTGAGATAGTGTTCCATAATCCATGAGCTTTATTATTATTGTTGTTGTTATTGTAATTTTGCCAGTCCTGGGCTTGAACTCTAGCCCTGGCTCTATCCCTGAGCCTCTTTGTGCTGAAGGTTCGCCCTGTACTGCTTGCGCCACAGCCCCACTTTTGGCTGTTTCTGAGTATTTTATTGGAGATCAGAGTCTCACGGACTTTTCCACCTGGCTGGCTTCGAACTGCAATCCTCAGATCCAAGACTCCAGGTGTAAGCCACAAGGGCCCAGCTAATCCATGAGATTTAATAAATTCTCTTTCCTTCATTCAGCTGTACTTCCCATGGCTTCCAGCTGTTGCACTGAGGTTTCGCATCACGTTTCCCGAAGGCTTCTGGAAAGAGTGAATACATGTCATATCCAGAGAGCTGATGGGGACTGTGACTTGGCTGCTGTCGTGTGAGTGTTCTTCAGCAGAAATAGCTAAAATTTGAATATTGTCATGGCCAACAAACAATTGGGTCAAAGACTGCCTGATACACGACCTCTAGATCACCCATACAAGGATGTAAGAGGAATAACTATCTGTCCTTCGATCCCTGGGCTCCTTGCGGTAAATGTACAGTCTCTACAGTGTGGCCTGAGCCCCACATTAGCCCTTCAGCTTCCCCTGATACAATGTGTGGCTAGCACTCACTGCCTTTGATCACCAGAAAATGCTATGACTTTTCCTAAGGGACACAATGGAGGTTCTGAGTATGACAAAACAGCAAACAGAAGATAGTTCTGTTATGTGTCATGGCTTTCACGGGAACTTTTTGTTGTTGTTTTTTCAGGCAAGTATGCAGTGGTTGTCCTCTTTACTCTGAATTTATCATAGGTTTCCAAAGCCAGTGCAGCAGTGCTTGTACCTGGCTCACAAGTGCCACACGCAACCCAGTTGTAAAAGCCCTTCCCTGCTTTTGAGTGTTATTGGGTGGTAAGCTCTCCCAAATTTCCCATCTCTCGTTCAATGGCTGGAGGCTGACAATAACAGTGTTGGATATGGAGTGTAAATGATTTCTCTGTGACATGCCAGGAACAATCTGTGACTGAGAGGACATAGTTCACCTGGCACCACACAGGGGGTGAATGGCAGACAAAGGATGCAAACACAGCTGTCTTTGTTCAGAACACTGCATATCACCGAGAGGCAATGGTGGGGTTAATCATAAAATGTTCTCCCAAAAGGCTACTTCATTTGAGTGTGAGGTATCACCCTGGCAGATTGGTTTAACACTGTGTATGGCTCTGGGTGTCATTTGGTTTCCCTTTCTTTGAGCTGCACATTATCTCATTGTTTATGTCTGAGCTTCTGAATGACTCAGAGCCTCCTTCTTCCATCTACAACCCAAAAATATCTATTGGCCAGGGATTTTGGATGGCCAAGTACCATTCTACATAAGTTAGATGAGCTCTGTTCTGTGCCAGCCTTTAGGACACTGTTGATCTAACGAGGCTCTTTAGAACCTTCTTTAGAACCTTTCTGATGATGTGAATCATCTCTGGGATTTGACATGCATTTTTTTCCTTTTCATGGGAATCTATCCACTACTCATTTAAACAAATTACTGATTCATCGTTTTTTCAGAGACCACTTCAAAGACAGAGATGGCTGAGCAACTCATCCATCAATCAAATGTCCCAGAGCAAAAGAGATGACATCTATATTTAAATATAGCTAAAACTAAAAGAAGTAAGGCTTAGCTCAAGTAGTAGAGGTTGTTTGTTGGGGAGAAAATGTGAGGTTATTAAAGTTATTTAAGAATCATAAGTTTTTTAGAAGGTATGATTTCCACAGCAGAGCCTCTACTTATATCCATTGGATTATATCTAGCTACCCTCTTGTGGGGAAAAAAAAAGCAGGGAATTGACTTTATTTCTTAAGAATCAAAACCCTGTCTTAAAGATCCATAAGATTCCTCCTAGGGGAGGGAGTGTAGAAGAAGCTACTGCTTCTTTTACATTCTTTACTATTACCTTATCTCTTTTCATCCAGATGGGATGGAAGTGGGCTACAAACCTGTCTTTATCTCCAGTTCCTTCAATTTAGCATTCCCACACAGGCTGGTTTTATTATGCTAATGCTCATTTAACATTTTTCTTCACATTGCTCCTATTTGGAGTCCCCACACTGCAGGATAAATTATTCTACTTGGGTCAGATGGAGCTGTTGCAGCCTGTGCTCTCCCCTCTCCCCACCCGCTTTCTTCCTGAACAACAGGGCAGGAAAGTGAGGCTTCCATCTCCAAAATAATGAGCAAAAAGCATAGATGGGAAGTGGAATGAATCATATGGCATAGGTAATTATAGTTTAAAAGTCTAATTCTATAGCGCTTTTCCCCCTCTAATTATTTTTCTGACCTTGAACTCATGTTATTACCCCTATGAAGTACAGGTGGGGCTTGAATGAAGAGAGGTTGGACGCGGAGATTTTAGGCCAACGACTGATATTTATACAGACTAGTTACTAAATGTTGTTTTGTTTTGTTTTTTGTCGGTTGTGGGGCTTGAACTCTGGGCCTGGGCGCTGTCCCTCAGCTCTTCAGCTCAAGGCCAGCACTCTACCACTTGAGCTACAGCGCCACTTCCTAGTTACTAAATGTTGAAGCTTGAACACATTGAGATTTGCTTTGCTCATTCATTAGTTGAGAAGAACACCTGTGCAGCCTCTCTCACAGGCTTGTATGTGGGTCAAATGAGGGTGCATGTGCTAAGACTTATAACTGGGAAAGCACAAAATTCCTGTTAGTCCTTTTCACCTATCTTTTGGAAGACAAGTGGTCACATGTTTTGTTGATCACTTATTTTCCTAATTGGCAGACTAACAGAAGAAACGCATTTGTCTCATGCATTTCTATTCATACAATGGAAGAGGCCCGTCTTTGTTGCTTTCGTTAACACATCCAGTGAAAGCTGGTTCACCTAGCCAAGTCTCTGACTTGGAAACTGTGAGCAAGGTAATGGTAAGAGATTATAACCAGTTATGTTGGCAGACATATGGCCACAAAGTGTGTCCTCCAGTCATAAGTTTGCTTTGGGAGGGAAGCCCCTAACGATTAGAAGACCCTTTACTTGGACAATCTCTTTCTGCCCACATGAGTTGCCCTATATGGAGAGCAGTGCTAGGGGTGGTAAAGATGGATGATTCCAAGCAGGTTATGAAATATGGATATAGGCAATTGTAAGTTGTTTTTAGGATGTAGTAAAAACTGTAAGAACAATGGAACACAGCCCTATAAAACATGGCCTCTTGAGCAATCGCAATATCAAGTTCCCTTGCGGATAAGACAAGTAGAAGTTTCTATTTCTGGCAGCCAACTATCATTTGATTTTTTTCTATCATGGTCCTATGATGACTATTTATGTCAATAACTCGAAGACCCTGTCTTGTACCATCCTTTTTGGACAGAATGCAGCATATAGGTGGAATAATTACACTTTTAGGTGGAACTAACCTGTTCAAACTGTTGTGCAAGCCAGCACTCCTTAGGACAACTTGCCTCAGGAGTCCTTTACAACATTTCTGTAAAGGCTTTAGATGGAGGCTCTCCAAAAGATGACGGATGGAATTCAAAATGGATCCCATCAGTTCAGCTCCTGCTATACTCAACTGCCTGAACTGTAAAATATAATTTTCATATCTTGCCTACTTTATGAGGTTGTTGTAAGGATCATATGAAAGGATCAGTGGGGTAAGGGAGGATGAAAGGAAAAGGTAAAGAGAGGGAAACATGTTTATAAACATGTATAAAGACAGAATTCAGAACCCATTCAAATTGGTTTTTAAAAAGGGGAGACTGTAAGCCAGGCGCCAATGGCTCACGCCTGTAATTCTAGCTACTCAGGAGGCTGAGATCTTAGGATCATGGTTCAAAGCCAGCCTGGGCAGGAAAGTCCATGAAACTCTTATCTCCAGTAAACCACCAGAGAACTAGAAGTGGCATTGTGGCTCAAGTGGTAGCTGAAGAGCTGAGGGACAACACCCAGGCCCAGAGTTCAAGCCCCGTGACAGACCAAAAAAAAAATAAAATAAAAAATGAGAGAGACTGGGATAAGAAAGAATAATAGGGCAAACTTGATTGAAGTACATTATATGGATATATGGAAATATCTGAATAAAACTTCTTTGCAGAATTAATACACACTAGTGGCTGGGAAGGTGGCTCAGTGGTAGAGCGCTTGCCTTGCATGCCTGAGGCCCTGGATTCGATTCCTCAGCACCACATCAACAAAAAGAAAAAAGCTAGAAGTGGCGCTGTGGCTCAAGTGGTAGAGCGCTAGCCTTGAGCTCTAGAACTGAGGGACAGCGCCCAGGCCCAGAGTTCAGGCTCCATGACCGGACCCAAAAAAAAAAAAAAGAATTGATACGCACTAATAAAAAAGAGAGAAAAAGATTAATGGATGTGTATGATGGGGCAATAAAGACGAAAAAGAAAATAAATTTTGAGCTGTGGTATAAATCTATATTATTTTAAACTTTAATATCCCCAAAATATTTTAGTGCATTGTTTTGTTGAACATTCACTTTGTGTCTGCAACGAATTACAGTTCCTACTGTGAATAAAGATTATTCCTTCCTCAAAGAGTATCATTTTAGAAGGAGAGATGTAATGAATCAAAAACATAGTAAATCAAACACAAAAACAAATCTAAATAAAAAACATAGTATTAAACTATGTTTATTAAACTAAGTGCCAGGAGAGAAGTAACTCTCACCATAGAGACTGAAAGGAAAAAGAAGAGCTCAGAAGATTCAGAAATGCCAGCAGTGTCTGAGATGGGTCATGAGAATGAGATCGATTTTGTTAGATAAAGCTTGAGCAAGGAAGAGACTAGTTCTTTTTTTTGTTTTTTTGGTTGTGGGGCTTGAATCCTGGGCCTGGGCAGTGCTGCCCTGAGCTCTTCAGCTCAAGGCTAACGTTCTGCCACTTGAGCTACAGTGCCACTTCTGGTTTTCTGGTGGTGTATTGGAGATAAGAGTTTCCCGGACTTTCCTGCCTGGTCTGGTTCTGAAACTGTGATCTTCAGAAATCAGTCTCCTGAGGAGCTAGGAATATAGGCGTGAGCCACCATTGCCCAGCTAGTTCTGTTTTTTTTTTTTTTTTTAATTTATTTATTTTTATTATAGTTTGTTTTTCTCTTTTTCCTCTTGCTCCTTATTCTGCTTCTTCCTCTTTTTTTCTTTTCTTTTTTTTTTTTTTTGTTTGTTCTTACCACTTTTACCTCTTTCTCCTCCTTTTAATACTGTCTGTTGATGTCTCAGGACTCCAGGCAACAGGGAAGAGTCAAGACTGACATTCCTGATGTTCAGTTTAGAGTTTACTCCCTAAGAATGCTGTGTCCAGATGTGGGGCTGTTTTAACATCACTATGCTGTGGGTGCTTGTATTTTTTTTTTGTCTTTTATTTATTTGCTTTCATTGTCATCTTCAAAGAGTTCAATTATGCATTTATGTGTAGAGGGCATCGTGATCGGTCTTTTCCATCAGTGATCACTATCTTCCTTTCTTGGCAGCCTTCATGTGAAGCGCAGAAGAGTCTGTGTCAGCCCACATAGTCTCACTATTAAGCAGTGGATGCGAGCTGAAGCAGCCAAGGAACATGGCAAAGGCAACATTTGCCATAAGAAGAAACACCAGGGCAAGAAGAACAGGAAGGGGCCCATCAGGAGAAAACATGAAACAGCCAGCCCTAAAACTCCTTAGTAGAGTTTACAAATGAATCTATAAAAATGATCCTCAAGTGAACTTGGCCATGATTATAAAGTTATGCTCCAAACTTTCTTTATTAGTTTTTTTTAAATGAACAATTGGACAGTATGCAAATGTTGCCAACTAAGAAGTGGAATGAAATCAACATTGTATAACATTTTAAAGGTGCAGGGACAGACAGGAGAGAGAATGAATAGGTAAATGTCCATATATGAAAGTGGAACCAGGTAAATTGAAGGTTTTGGGTGGAGTTGGGGTGGAGTTTTGAGCATTGCACTCACAAACTTGAATTGTACAACTGCTTAAAGATAATTCAAGGAAAAAACCCACAAGACTATAGGTATAATTTTTCTATTTTTTTGTTCCAATTCTGGGGCTTAAACTCAGGGCCTAGGCACTGCCCCTGAGCTTTATTGCTCGATGTTAATACCCTATTACCTGAGCCACATCTCCACTTCCAGCTTTTTGGTGTTTAATTGGAGATAAAAATCTCACAGACTTTCCAGTCTGGGATGACTTTCAACTTCGATCCTCAGATCTCAGCTGTCTGAGTAGCACGAGCCACCTGGCACCTGGCTTTTTACATTTTTTTATTAAAAACTTTTCCAAACCTACAATTAATGAATGGTACAAGGAGTCATTGATATGTCTTTAATCTAGGTTAGTCATTATTAATATTTGTCCCTCTCTCTTTCTCCTCTTTGTATATATGTAGGTATAACTATCTATCTAATCTATCTATCTATCTATCTATCCATCTATCTACCTATAGCTAGCTATTGATAGGTGATATATATTCTTTCCACTAATGTTTTGAAAAGAAATTACAAACATAATATCAGTCTGTTTTCTGTTACTATAACAAAATATCTAAAACTAGGTAATTTTAAAAGAACATAATGTTCTGGAAGCTAAGAAGTAATTTGTAAAGAATATAGTGATCTGGAAGTTAAGAGGTAGTTTATAAGGAATATATGGTTTTGGAAGTTAAGAAGTTCAGGAGCATGGTGTCCACACGTGGTTGGTGTCTGCATCATAACATAATGATGGCCATCATGTGGCAAGACAGAAGAAACATGCTACTCAGGTCTCCCAGTTCTTATAAAGCCACTAATTCCATCATGGAGACCCAAACTTCATGATTTGTTTCATCCTAATTACTTCCCCAATCCTCCACCTCCAAATCCGGACATATAACCATATAAAATTGTTTCCAACACTGGAATTTAGGAGTGATATTTCAAACCTAATTTCTTTTTTCTTTTTGGTCAGTCGTGGGGCTTGAACTCTGGACCTGGACACTGTCCCTCAGCTCTTCAGCTCAAGGCAAGCACTCTACCATTGAGCCACCTTCCCAGCCCAAACCTAATTTCATTGCTGTAAATTGACATTTTCCTGAGAGGCATTTCCTACAAATCACTTCATCAGTTTTATACCTAAAACTTTTCATTTTCATCTAGTTCATATCCAAATTTCCTTAACTATTTCCAGATCATTTTTATAGGTTTTTAAACTATAGGAATCAAGACATTTACATATTGCTTCGTTTTTAAAGAATCTTTCATTCTACGAAAGCCTCACAGCCTTTCTGCTTACCTTCTCTCATTCCTGCCCTTCATGCCCTCCCTCTTTCCTTCCCTCCCCTCTTTGGCCCTCCCTTTCCCTCTCTTTTTCTTCCCTTCTCTTTCTCATCATGAAATTTTCACATTTCAGTTTCGTCTGATTATTTCCTCAATGTCAGATTCAGGTCTTTCCATTTCCAAGTTTTCTGAGTGGATGTGTATACTTTTTGTCTCATTTAGAATTTACAAAGGGTAAAGCAAGCAGAATAACATCTGGTTTGAGTAGCTACTTTTACCTGTGAGGCAGTTTAGCTATAGTCAAAGAATGTTGAAACTAACCCTAGGAGAGACCTAGTCAGGCCCTAAGAGACCATCCTGAGTTCTGTCTCCTCCCTAGTACCTCCCTGGCCACTCTTCCCTGTGAAGAATTAGTGGTCAGTTTGTGGTTAAGACTCTTCTCTGGGAGTAGAAAAACTTTCAGGCCATGTCTAACTAAATGGAAGTGTGGGTGCTGTGGCTTGACCTTTGTGCAAAACACTCCTATTCAAGGGTTCCTGCTACTCAAGGGTTCCTGCTACTCAAGGGTTCCTGCTCCATTTCAAACACATTCTTAACAACTTGTGTGCACACAGACTGCTTCCAAAACACTGTCGTCATGCTCTTTCCCTAACACCATGACACCATAGTTACCATGAGCTTCACTTCTCCCATGGCCCCTGATTCCTGGAAAAGTAAACATTTAATCATGTGTTTGTTCTTGAGCCACCTCTCTCATGCCTGCTATTTCCCTTAATGTTGTATTTTCTCTATTAAAGTTGCTTTACCATTTACTTTTTTTTTTTTTTTTTTTTTTATTGTAAAGCTACTATACAGAGGGTCACAGTTACATGAGTGAGGTTATGAGTACACTTCCTCTTGAACATTGTTACCCCCTCCATTGTTTTCCCCCTACCATCCCCTCCCTCCCTCCCTTCCCCGAGGTTCTTTTTTTTTTTTTTTTTTGATTGTGATTAAATGATTACATAATTTCAAAGTCACAAGTTCATTCTAACTTCCCTGGAGCAAATTGTCTACCACAGTCTGTAATATATAACAGTGTTCACATGTTATATACCATATTTGTGATCAGCAGCATGAGGATATTTAGTAGTGGTTCAACCAGATGAGCGGGAGTTCTTTGTTTCTTAAGTCCTGTTAGTTTTGTCGTATCACTAACCTTTTGGATTTAGCATCCACTTATGAGGGAGACCATGTACCGTTTGTCTCTTCGTTCTTGGCTTACCTCGCTCAACATGATTCCTTCTAGCTCCATCCATTTCCCTGCAAATGCCATTATTTTGTCATTTCTAATGGCTGCATAATATTCCATTGTGTATAGATACCACAATTTTTGGATCCATTCATCTGTGGTGGGGCACCTAGGTTGTTTCCATATCCTAGCTATTGCGAACAGTGCTGCAATAAACATGGAGGTGCACGTGTCCTTGTATATTGGTTCCTGTTGTTCAGGGTAGATGCCTAGAAGTGGTATGACTGGGTCGTAAGGGAGGTCAATCTTTAGCTTTCTAAGGACCCTCCAGACTGCTTTCCAAAGTGGTTGTATAAGTGTACATTCCCACCAGCAGTGTAATAGGGTTCCTCTTTCTCCACATCCCCTCCAGCATTTGTTGTTGGCTGATTTGTGGATGTGGGACATTCTGACTGGGGTAAGGTGGTATCTCAGGGTTGTCTTTATTTGCATTTCCTTCACCACCAGGGATGATGAACATTTCCTCATGTGTTTCTTTGCCATTTTTATTTCTTCATTTGAGAAGTCCCTCTTTAGTTCCCTTGCCCATTTAGTAATTGGTTTGTTAGGTTTGGGAGGGATTAGTTTCTTGAGTTCCCTGTATATACAGGATGTTAACCCCTTGTCTGATATATTGCTGGTAAATATTTTTTCCCAATTAGTTGGTTGTTTTTCTAGCTTAGTTGCGATAGATTTAGCTGTGCAGAAGCTTTTTATTTTAAGGTAGTCCCATTTGTCGAGTCTCTCTCCAACTTGTTGTGACCCTGGGACTCTGTTCAGGAAGTTCCTTCCTGTGCCTATTAGTTCAAGTGTCTCTCCTACTCTGTCCTGCAGTAGTTTCAGAGATTCAGGTTTAATGTTAAGGTCTTTAATCCATTTTGAGTTGATGTTGGTGCATGGTGATAGGCTGGGGTCCACTTTTAGTTTTCTGCATGTGGCTGCCCAGTTTTCCCAGCACCAGCGGTTGAAGAGGCTGTGTTTCTTCCATTGTATGTCTTTGGCTCCTTTGTCGAATATCAGCTGGCTGTAGGCCTGTGGATTTATATCTGGATCTTCTATTCTGTTCCATTGGTCTTCGGGTCTGTTTTTGTGCCAGTACCATGCTGTCTTTGTGATTATAGCTCTGTAGTAGAGTTTGAAGTTCGGCATGGATAGCCCTCCCATATTGTCTTTATCCCCTAGAATTGTTTTGGCTATTCTAGGTCTTTTGTTGTTCCATATAAATTTTTGGACTGTTTTCTGTATTTCAGTGATGTACGTCATTGGGATTTTAATAGGAATTGCATTGAATTTGTATATTAATTTTGGAAGTATCACCATCTTTACTATATTAAGTCGGCCTATCCAGGAGCATGGGAGGTCTTTCCATTTCCTAGTGTCTTCTGCAATTTCTTTCTTTAACTTTTTATAGTTCTCATTAAATAGTTCTTTTACATCTTTGGTTAGGTTAATTCCTAAATATTTTATTTTTTGGGAGGTTATTGTGAATGGGGTTGCTCCCTTTATTTCCCTCTCTTCCTGTGCGTTATCAGTGTATAGGAAGGCAACTGATTTTTGTGGGTTTATTTTGTATCCTGCTATTTTGCCGAAGTGACTTATGATTTCTAAAAGTTTGGGGATGGAGTTTTTGGGATCGTGGAGGTATAGTATCATGTCGTCTGCAAAAAGGGATAGTTTCACTTCTTCTTTCCCTATGCGGATCCCTTTAATGTCTTTTTCTTGCCTTATTGCCCTGGCTAAGGGTTCTAGGACTATGTTGAAGAGGAGTGGAGACAGTGGACATCCTTGCCTTGTTCCTGTTTTTAGGAGGATTGGTTGTAGCTTTTCCCCATTAAGTATAATATTGGCTATTGGTCTGTCATAAATGGCTTTTATTGTTTTTAGAAATGTTCCTTCTATTCCTATTTTCTCCAGAGCTTTTAGCATGAATGAATGTTGAATTTTATCAAAGGCCTTTTCTGCATCTGTGGCGATAATCATGTGATTCTTGACCTTGGCTCTGTTGATATGCTGGATTACATTTATTGACTTACGTATGTTAAACCATCCCTGTGTCTCTGGGATGAAGCCTACCTGATCATAGTGTATTATTTTTTTTATGTGTTTCTGGATTCTGTTAGCTAGAATCTTGTTAAGGATCTTTG